AAAAAAAAAAAATCTTAAAAACTTGTTCATGAATGTTTTAGCAATGTCATTCATAATAGCCAAAAACAGACATATCCCAAATATCTATCAATTGAAAAATGGATGGATAAATAAAATGCCGTATTTCCATCAATGAAAAATTATTCAGTTATAAAAAAGGAGTAAAATACAGACAGAAATAACATGAATGAACCCTGAACACATGCTCAAGTGAAAGAAGTCAGACACAAAGGCCACATACTTTATGATCTCATTTATATGAAATATCCAAAAACAGGCAAATAAGAGACAGAAAGAGTAGAGGGTGCCAGGGGGCAGGGGCAGTAGGAGATAGTGAGCAGTTGCTGATGGTTAGGGGTTGGTTTTGTGTGTGTCTGGGAGGTGGGAGGGAGGAGGGAGCAATGATGAAAATGTTCTGGGATTAGACAGTGGTGATAGTTACACAACTTTGAGAATATACTAAGAACCACTGAATTATATGCTTTAAAGGGGTAAATTTTATGGTGTGTGAATTACAAAAGGATTGGCGAGGTTTCATTCGCCAGAAGTCAAGGGCTGTTCATAACGAAGCCAGTGGTTATATGTTTTGTTATCTAGTTTCATTTATTTATTTCCTGCCTCATTCCCCTAATGAGCTGCAAGATCTATGTTTTACTTCTAGAGACAGGCAAATGCAAAAATCTACTTAAGGTGAACATCCTTAGTTTATATTCAAGACCCCGAGAAAAGTACCAGAACAACATGTACACAATAATATCAAATTATTGAGTCACTCCTCACCATCAAGTATTTTTTCTCCTCTTGGTCCTGGCACATTGAGATGGCATCTTGAGGTGGAATCATATTCCAAAGTCCATCACTCCCCAAGATAATATACTTGTGCTTCTGGGGATCAAGAGTGTGGACACTTGTGTCTGGTTCAGGTGATACCACAAACTCACCACTGAAGAAATCATAGCTCCACAAATCACCTAGGGGGCAGGGAGCAAAAGAAGCAAAAAGTATTATTTCCAAGCTAGTAGTATCACATCAACAGATTAAAGGAGAAAATCAACATGTTCATTTCAATAGGTGCAGAAAAGTGTCTGATAATATTCAAAATCCACTGATATAATATTAAAAAAGAAAAAAAACACTTCCTAGCAAACTAGAGATAAACTAGAGATAACTTAACCTGATAAAAGTGTGCCTTCTATACCACTTCTCTTCCACTACTACACTGGAGGTCCTGTCCAACACAGTAAGATAATGAAATAGAAACTATAAAAATTTAAACAATTCTATTTACAGTGAATCAAATGTAAGTTACTTAGAAATAAATTGAATAAAAGGTGCCTAAGTCTTTGATGAGCAAGGTTATACAATTAGATTCATTAAAAAAGACTATCTGAATAAATGGAGAAATAAACTATATTGATAGATAGGAAGACTTAATACTATAAATATGCTACTTCTTCCAAAAATAACCTATAGAGTCAATGTAATTCAAGCCAAAACTCCAAAAGGATTTTTGTAGAATTTGACTAGCTGATTCTGAACTGTGTAAGGAAAAGCAAAGAGCTAAGATTCAACAAGATAATTATGAAGATAAGATGGGAGGACTTGCTCTACAGAGTCCTAGTGGCTATCTGAAATCCTCCTGCTAACCCCTAGACCAAGAAAGTACCAACATCAAAACATAACCAACCATATGACCAGTCTTTGGAGATAAGAGTTCACCACCCTTCAGTGAGCCAGAAAAAAGGTTATCCTCCTTCTTGATTAGCTCCACATAAAACAATGCCTCAACCTCTGCCCTTTAGACCTATTAAATATAAACTTCAAAATATTCAACAGAAAAAAACTTTTTGTTGACTCAAACTATCAAAAAGATCAATAAAACTGAAATAGAAAAAATTTTTTATTGAAACCATCTACTTTTCTGTGATACATAAGACAAGGTAAGTAAGTACAACAACATAAACCTTTTTTTTGCTCCCAAAAATTGGGGAAGGAGACAGAATACATAAATTTTTGCCTCTTTTGTTTGTTGTCAAGTACTTTGGGGAAAGACCTAAATTAAAAGCAAACAGCTTTTGCAAAAGAAGGTAAATAGTTTTTCACCCCTTTCAGCAGGTCTGACTTTTTGTTCAAGAGGAAGCTCTTTGTCCTTTCCCTTCCTTATTTAAACTTCTCCATTACCTCTCATCAGAAATACTGGTCAATTCAAACATGCTTGGAGTCCAAGGAAAGAATAACTCAAATCAATTACTCCACTCTAACATAGCAAACTTCACTGCTAAACCAGCCTCTTGAAAGGGACAACTGGTCCTTCAGAGGAGCAAAAGAGAACACATGAAACCACTAAAAGCCAATTATAGCCCAGGTCAGCTCATACAGACACAGTGACCTCTTTGTACCAGTAAAACAAAACCCCCTGGTTGATGAAATTATAAAAATGAACATGGAAATAGTTAAGATAAATACTAAGGTAGCAATTATAGAGTTCATAAATGTTGATTAAAACTTTCAAGAGCAGTTTCTTTCCATTATTTGGAATTAATATTGCCACTCCAAGCAAGAAAATAAATTTATATAAAGCAGAATCTCTAATATGTCTAAACTTAACATCTAGGTGAAAAAAGAAATTCCAACTTTCAATCTAATGCAGATTATATGACCTTGAAGAAGGATCACAATTTCTCATGTTATAAACATTAATATCTTTATGAATTTGAAAATATTTTAAAATAAGTGTTAAATAGGTAATATATTAATATGGCACAAAACCCAAGATACAAAAGGGTATATACAATGAAAAATCTCCCTTCACATCCCTGTCCTTACCAGTTCTCCACTTAGGGAACAACTACTGTTCCTTCTATAGATATCTAGATCTGTAGATATATATACAAGCATACTTGTATATATATACACCCCTTTGGCAAAATTACCCTCTTAAGCTTACAATTATTCTTTTACTGACAATTCCTAAATCACTAGTTCCCAGTATCTTGCCAAACTCTTTCTTTCTCTCTCACTAAGCCAAAATACATTTCAAGAAAGTCTCATTTC